ATTGATGCTTCACAGTGAAAGAGGACAACTGAATGTGAAGTGGGTGGCACACTCAGAAATGTTAATAGCAGGCTGTCCCTAAGGGCTGCAACTCTTGTACTCCTCTGGCATGTAAATAAGGGCAAAGTTCAAGTAGCCTTCTAATGTGGTGTATGGAAAGCATAGATAACAAGAAAATGCACATGCTTTTGATGCTACACATAGGAAAAAAGAATGATGCATGATACATAGCATAAAATTCTGCCTTAAGAAGAAATCAGTAGCTGGGTGTGTATAATGGGTTACTGCACCATTCCACAGCTTCTGTTCTATGCTTCCTCTTTTATACCCAACAGAGTTGAAAATATGTCTATGAGGCTAGAAGAAGTGAATGAAAGAGAACATTTTATGAAAGCTTCTCTTCAAACAGTCGACCTTCGACTCTCTCAATTGGAAGAACTATCTGGTCGGATGGTGAATGCTCTTGAGAAGCTGGCAGGTATTGACAAATCTGAGCTGTCATACACACGTTCACGGGCTTCGTCTGAGTGTGATGCTGCATATCTCCTGAGGCAAAGCAGTGTTAACAGCTCTGATGGCTACAGCATGTACAGATACCATGTCGGTGGTGATGAGTTAACATATGATGACAGTACCACTCCTATGTCACCAGCAATGGGATTGCGTAAAAAAGCCCATTCTTTTGGTACCAAAGAAGACGGAGCAGACCCAAGGATGCTGGTTCCAGAACACCACACCAGTCTCCATTATACCTCTAGTGCTAATGCCGTCACCACAGCAGATTACAGTAATTCTACATTAGAAATCGCACAGAATGTTTCCAGACCCCGTTCTGGTTCAGGTGGTTGTGGTGATGAAAAGCAGGGGATTTTCAAGAGTGATGGAATCGTTCCTCGAAGTATAAACCAGATGGATGCTGTTACAAACAGACAGTCAGTACCAAGGTCAGATTTTCAGAACACTCAGTTAAAAGTAGAACGTACCAAGCTAGAAGCAACCATCTCTTATCCCTTGGACAAATCTAAAGCAATGCGCTATTTTCCTCCTGAAACATTCAGTGCTTGTCAAACCACTATGATGAAGTCAAGGAGCTTTATATTTGCACAGGGTGGGAAGCTGGTTGGAGGAGTTAACAACTGGACCACAGAGTATAGTACCATCATGGATCAGGTATGCCCTTCTACAATTGAACAATGGGCCACAGAGTGGAAATACGAAGTTGAGCAGCAGTTTTCTCAAGAACGTCCTCCAGAATACCCTGGGTTTACCTCTGAAGCAGAAAGGCAAGCAGAGCAGAAACAGTTACAGATGGACACAGATGATGACAGTGATGTTGGTGAAGCAGGTATGAGTGCCTCTTACACCTCTATGCCTGCCACTGTCAAGGCTGAGAAAGAGAATTTACTGTCAGTAAAGCCAGAAAGGACTTCTGGGTTCCCATCAGTACGGTCAAAGAGTTTGCACAGCCACTCTCGGAAAGCCAAGTCTATAAAGGACAAATTAAATAGACCAGGACATGCCAGCAGCGTAACTAATTTGGTGGTAGCATTTGGCAGTGCAACAGAAGAACAGAAAGCTACACAAGAAAATGCATCCACAGAAACTGAATGTTAGGCCCCTGTTTCATTGACAGTCAAGAAAGTAGCATGATTAATTGAACAAATTATGGATTTTTAAATTAATTTCTGAAGAAGAATTTTGCATATATTTGTTTCTTTTCATTTTAAACTCAATAGATGTATGTTCTGTTCTTAAATAAATGCTTGCTGGGTCAGACGAAAGGGACTTGTTCTCTCAGGGGCACATAAAAAGTAGGCACAGTCCACACATGCCAATAATATAAATCTTTCTTCGTTCCATTTCGACCTCCCTCATAAGCTCATTTACTGACAAGCTCTTTATAAAAGCTCTTGAAAGAAGCACAATATTATCATGTAATAACTTAGAAAATTTTTTTCCTTCTTTCTTATCAGAAGACTTCTTAAACTGAACAAATTTTTAACCAGCCTTAGTTTTTATCCTTACTTATGCAGCTGGTTTCTTTGGGGCCATTGTGTTTTTCAGATCAAAACAAAATTGTTGGAGGCAAGGAAACATTATGGAGTCCCCTCTTTCACTTCCAATTTCATGAGCGCTTCTTAGCTCCTCTTTCAGAAAGGCACAACATAGCAGTTTTCATCCACTAAAATAGGTCTGAGTGGCAAAATGCAGTTGTGTTTGGAGAAACCTGACCCGGAAAGCCATGTGTAGACACATTCTTGACCTGTCCTTGAACTTCAGTGACATAATCTTGCTTTCAAGGTCATATCTGTCCCTACCCCAAAGCATGCTGACAGCCTTAAACCGTTGAAAAACAGTTATCATTGTTTCAAAATGTTTAGGGAGATTTTAAGTATATGAATTTTATGGAGATTTTAATAATACGAATCCAAGATCTGCATTAGTGTTTTGTATAAATGGGGATTACAACAGGATCCATGCAGACTAAAAATCTGGCTTTTTTTAAATGTCTGCAAGGCAAAACAAAACAAAACAAAACCGGAAAGGTGTTCTGATATGGTGAGATCAAAATGTAGCCAATCTGTGTTTGAAGCAAATCTACTGTGACGAATTCATCTTTCATTTTGCAATTTCATTATGATAACACATGAGGAACAAGGAACAGTTTCTAGGAGTTATTCTTAAACAAAAAATAAATTCTCCAGATGAGAACAGAAATTCCATACATTTTCTTGAGTAAATTTCAAAAACAAATGTCAAAGGGAAAAAAAGCATCTATAGTGAAAGTGTTTTCTATCCCTCAATGACTAAGACTGGAAATCCACATCTATACTTACAATTTCCAAGCATACCGGTCTCAACAGTGGCATTCTAAGTACTAGGTTTTGATAGTTTTCTTCTAATAGCGTGATGTTATTTGCCTCATGTTTCTCTGTTGCCTTTTCGGAATTTTATTTTCCCAAATATTCAGCACCTCTCTTTGCAGGGGATACGTACCATTGAACAGACAAGAAAGAAAATCAGTTAAAGGCATGTTACTGTTCACAGAATACTGGCCAAAAGTTTATGCTTAACTCATTAATGGTCAGGACTTATTCATATACTATTTTGAAAACACGGAATTTATTTTTTTCCCCACCATCAGCTCCACAGTATATAGGTCTCGGTATCCCCCTTGATAACGCTGCTTACAGCATTATGAAATGAAGTGCAGAGATTGATGGAAGACTCTACAAATGCATTGATGGCATCAGCTTGTTATTGTTTGTATTATATCTTCATCCGTACTTATACCCTGAAGTACTGTTACCATACTGAACGATCATGGTGACTGCATAGACATTTCTGAAAGTTCAGTCATCATTTACTAGCTTGGTCTTAGCAGGTTTACTGGTTTTACTGTTGTCAGAACAGTGTTGACATTTTGCTTTTCATGTGGGCTTCTCTTTTATTCAACTTTAGGGAACTTGACATTTTGTGAAAACAGAATGACATTTGAAATTGTTTCACTTCCATGTTTACTTCTGTGTTACCGTTCTATGCAACTACATAGCCATTTTGTGTGTGGTTAAAATAGCCTCCAATTTGCCAATGCCTTTTTATTGTTTGCCTGCACACTCACCAGAAACTGATTCATTAACAAACACAAAGGGATGCAGCTTTTCAGCACTTTGCTAAACAAGCAGTATGCATTGTGGAACGAAATACAGTGTGTTGCATACCTCTTGTTACATTGTCTTTATAAAATGTGTGTTGAGTCATGCTCTGTTTGACCAGTTATTTTTTTAGCATTTACATTACAAATTTATCAGATAGCATGTGGATTTCAAACAAAAACATTTTTCCTTTGTATTTATTTACTTCCTTTGTGTAAAAATATTTATTAAAAAAACACATTAAAAAGATGCAAAATGAATTCAGTATAATAAATTTTTCACTATAATGATATCAAAACACTTTACTTGTCTGTTTCTTCTTATGCAGTGCATGGGCTGAACATCTTCTAAGCAAAGTTTCTTTTTTAACGTTTGCCAGCTATTTTCCATAAAGTTCTCTATACAGTGATGACTTTTTAAGGCTGGGATGCTTTCTGTGTTCTTGCATAGCATGAACTGGAATGATAACTTCTCTGTCATTAAGTGTGAAGTAACTGCACTGATTTTGGCAGAGTGAGTTATTTTAGACGTACAGCCATTTTAATAAGATTTAAATATGGCTCTGTATGTGCATAGAAATCCAATAGTAGATTTGGAGCACACTAAACAGAGTAACGATCAACACATTTGCATGTCTGCCTACATGCTTTCTTGAATACTGGCTGAAAGGATGTAAGCACAGAATTTGCATTTCTGAAGAGACATGTTTAATACTGCTTTTCAGGAAGATGCATCCCTCCTGTTGCTAAGTATATGGTGACTCCACAGCAGTGTCACTGTGAATTCCACTTGCCATTTTATGTTATGTGCTTGACCTATACTGAACACGGTCAAGCCTAAAGAGTATGTACTCTAAGGCTATGTCTGCGCAGAGACATTACACTGAGGTAATTTAAGTTTGTTCACCATACAGCATCTTGCAATACAGACATTTCCCTCACCCTCAAGGCGAATGTTTTAAACGCAGTGACTAATTGTAATATTCACATAGGCAGGTTCTTAACTGTACCACAAATTACCCCTTTTTACATTGCATCATTCTGGGACTAGCTTGACTTTGCTTTTGCAAGCCTCTTCTATTGTAGAGTCACTTTTTCCATTTTAGATGCTGGATTTTGACACCTGAGAATCAAGAAAGTCCGTTTTCCATATTATTTAGTAATGAATTAAAGTCGCCATTAAACCCTTCCAACTACGGTTTCTCCATACTGCTTCTTTGGATGCTTTCCTATGTTCTGGGCTTGACTATCATCTTTGGCAAAATGTGTATCCCTCTAAATAAAAATTAAAAGAATATGAGAATCTGTAAGGCCTTGTCAGAAAACAGGAACATGAGGAGGGTGCATGACCAAGGATGTCATCAGGATTATTTCATCAGATCTGCAAGATCCACAGGATTGTGCCCTGCTACGGGTGTTCTGGGCAGTTAACCCACTGACTCAAAGCCAGTTTGCTGCTGAGCTCTTGCTATGGAGGAGGTGAGTCTTCAGAGTGACAGCACTTGGACACATTGCTGGGGCCCCACCTAGTAGTGCCACTGCCAGCATATATAATTTCTGCACCACTGTCCTGTCTGACCGGTCACTTCTAGTTGAACTAGTATTGCACTTAAAAGCTTGTCACAAGGAAAAAAGGAGACACACCTTGTATGTAGAGTCAGGAATTTATTTTTAGTGTAACAAATTTTAAGTCTAATAAATGAATTATTATTAGTCTAGATCTAATTATAAGAGAAGAGAAACAAGAAGAGAGGAGAGAAAAAAATACTACTATACTACTACAAGAAAAAACTCAGTAAGGTAAAATTGATATATGCACACTTCCTATCTACCCTTTTTTTTTTTTTTTTGATGTTATGCTCACTTGCACTGATCCTCTGGGTCTAACAGTCAATGGCTGCAGTGGGGGTAGTGAGGAGATATTGCCAGATGTCAATCATATGTTTGCTACCAACTTTACATCTACTTTTTCTTCATTGGCCTTCAAATCCTACAATTACACTTGAATTTCCTAGTCATTAGAAAAATTGCTTTCACAGCTAAACAAACGAAGGGCCAGCTCAAGGCAAGTTAGGGCAAATTCGGACAAAGCAATCCTGACAAGCCTCAGTCCTGAGGCCTGACAAAGTCAGCATAAAGCCTGCGGCCTGTTACTAGCAGTGACAATACTCTCTTTACTGGGTTACGAGGCTACATTAGCCCTAGAGGTGTTTTCCTCTCATTACAGCCACTGCAAATAAATGCTCTTCTGTGTGCAGTGGTCACCTAAGCTGAGTATTTCAGCCTAATTGTGGATTTTTGATCCCCATTGGGATCCAGCATCAGACAGAAAGGCAAAGAAGATATAAGGACCTGACTGATATAGCCATTTAATGCCCTTTTCAACTGGTGCCAGGGTCCAGGGGGGCTGGGGTAGTCAAAAACCAGTACAGAGCAGTAGTTTGTATTGCAGGCTGACAAACCACAAGCCTTGGGAAAAGTGAGATGAGAGCTACAGATTTCCCTAAATCTGCAATCTTCTTTTGCTTTTTACAACTTTTAGCCTGATGTGCAGAAACAAAATTTGATATGGCAAAGTGGTGCTTTATGGTTGATGCCCTGTATCTGTACAATGGATGTAAGGTATGTCTCAATAATAGGCTTTAAATTATTCTTTGCAGTTGTTCAGCAACAATATTTAAGTGCCTGTATCCACCTTCTGCTTGGTGTTAAAGTTAATGAAAAAGGAGTTGCATGATTTCATCTGCCTGCTCCTCTTTTGTCTCTACAACTTTAAAACCCCTATGAAACCGCAGTGCTTCATCCTGCACAATTCTAGATGCAAGCATCTCCCTTTTCTTGCACTAATTGGACTGCTATGCTATGCTCAGCAAGCTGTTATCTGAGCAGACCAACAGCCTTAAAAAATGGCCATGGAAAAAGACTGGATTCTAGTTTAGGAGAACTGGTAATCTGATAGTCACTATCACAATACCTATGTGAAGTAGCCCAAGCCAAGGTGGAACATTGTACCAATGAATAGCTCCAAATAACTCTAGGCAAGTAATACCTACATAATGATTAACAAGAAAAGTACCCTTATGTAACATAGCAAAGTTCAACACCATTAAACCTCCACGCTGAGAATACTACCTCCACTTCGCAGCCATGCCCTGAAAAGGCGGCTTTTTTCCTGATATCCATCAAGAAACTAAAACCTTTGTGTAGTTTTTATAGCTTTTGTATATCTTTGGCCAAGACTATCAAAGTTGTTGTTTTATGTAGGTAATCACATTTTAAGTATTTTATGTAAGTAATCACATTTTAAGTATTTTTTTGCTAGATCTTCATCAAGGACACTCAGGAAGTAGAGATTTTTTTCCAACCACTTAATAAATTTAAGGCATAATGTTTTTCTTCTATAAGAGGTAATACAGACTTGTAGGGCTGGCTTCCTCACAAATCCCTAGCATAAGTCCCACACTTCTGAGTGCAGGCCGAGGCAACTTGGGTGTGCAAATTACTGAATGCACAAGGAGGGAGGTGTCCAAGTAAAGTAATAAACCATAACACTTTCAGTGAAAAATAGCACAGCCTTTTGAATCCCTGACTTTGCAGACTTGCCACATACTTGCTGTAGCTCTGGGCACATAGCTCAGCTGTGAAATCAGACAACACGTATGTCTTTGTGTCTTGGAGTTCAAACCAATAATTGAACCATTCTTCAGAAAGCTATAAAAACACGTAAGTTGCCATAGAAATACAGGCCTGGAAGGGATCATCTACACTAAGGCAAGTTCAGCAATGTCGATAGCATCAGTGACAGATGGTGGTCTAACCTGTTTTTGAACATGTCTAATGAAAGCCATTCCCTAATCTGCTGAGAGATCAAAAGGGACCATTATGAAAATCTGTTCTAATTTAACCCCAGCCCTCATGCATTGCACAAGCCAAAGTAATTCCCCAACCACAGAGCCGTCTTGTGACGTTGTACCAGAACTTTTAGGAAGATACCTAATCTGATGTGCAGTGAATATAGCAGGTTATGCACCATAGCCATAGCTAAGCAGATAGATAATTATCTTCACTGTTACAAACAATTTGCACTGTATGTAAAAAGAGGCCCCAGGAAACTGCCACACAGCGTGTGGGGTGTGACACCACCAGGGGAGCAGGCCAAGTTGGTTCTGGGAGGACCATGGCAGTGGAGAAGTGTAAGGGTCCTGGTCAGTCTAGCACATAGGAGATATCATTGAATAACTTAATTTTGAGGCAATGAAAATAACTGCACTGAGTGAAAATGTTTGGGTTTTTTTAAATTAATGAGAATAAAAATAGACATCTGTAGTCTTTTCAGTTCAGCTGGCTTTGTTGCATAGCTAGCATCCCCCAGTTCTTTCAAGACTTTTCTCATAGAACAAAGGCATTCTCAGAAACCTCTGGTTTAGCAGACCTGTTTGAAAGAAGTGAACAAGTGAGGCAAGCCAGGCTAGCTGGAGGTGGGCAGGCATTTGAGTGTGGTGCACTGCCAGAAAGTCAGGGGATCCAGAGGATTTCCCTGCCTGTCCTGCCTGCCTTACGCCCACCGTCTACCCTGACCTGCCCTACCTGCCCTCTTGCCTTGTCTGCCCTGCCCTGCCAGCCTACCCTACCCTACTTGCCTGTCCTGCTCTGCCTGTCTGCACTGCCTGCTTGTATCCCACTGCAAGTTGTGACAGAATTGGCTTGCTCTTCCAAAATACTCCCTTCTGTCAAATCAGTTTTCTCCTCCCACTGGCATAAAACTCTTCCAGTGACAACTTGTGACCAGTTCCAACAACAGTTCTCACAAATCTTGTGATCTTATTTTTACTGAGAGCTTAGTTTTGATTTTGTTTTTCCCTTTTCAGAACAGCACTGCAATTTAAATGTGTCAGTACGGTCCTTAATGGAAATTTGTGCTGTCCTATGCTCATTCCCTCAAGAGTAAGATTGCATTTGCAGCCACTCCTCAGAAGGCTCTGTGCTGATGCAGTGTCCTGGTTTCAGCTGGGACAGAGTTAATTTTCTTCCTAGTAGCAGAATACTCTTATAATTCTGATGTAGCATAAATAATTGTTATTTTTAATATCACTGGGAAATTTGTTATATGCAATTTCAAGCCTAGCTGATTTGGGCAGTTTCTGCCTTCCTTGCCCCTTGCTTTCTCTTCCCCTTTTCTGATTTTAATTTCCTTTCAACAGTGTTCTGAATATGAACAAAAACCTTTAAAGAAAAATAAAGATGAGGGCAAGTCCCGCAGTATTTCTCACTTATCCAAGGGATTTAGCTTGTGAAAGGGGTAAGTCACCAGCAGGACAGGAGCCGTGGCTTGCTCTCACAGCACTGTCAGGCAATCAGCATTACACAAGCAGCTTCTGCAGCACAGTGCACTCTCTAAAATGGACAGGCGCTGAGCCTGAGACCATGCCAGGCTGAATAATGCCACTTAGACAATTACATTTGCAGCAATGATGACAGGCTGAGAGAGTTGGGCTTGTTCAGCTTGGAGAAGAGAAGGCTGCAGGGAGATCTTATTGCGGCCTTTCTGTACTTAAAGGGAGCCTATAGGAAAGACAGGGAAAACCTTTTTAGTAGGGCCAGCTGTGACAGGACAAGGGGGAATGGTTTTAAACTAAAACAGGGTAGGTTTAGACTAGATATAGGAAAGAAATTCTTTACAATGAGGGTGGTGAAACACTGGAACAGGCTGCCCAGAGAGGTAGTGGAGGCCCCATCCCTGGCGACATTCAAGGCCAGGTTGGATGGGGCTCTGAGCAACCTGATTTAGTTAGTGGTGTCCCTGACCAGTGCAGGGGGTTTGGACTTGATGACCTCTAGGGGTCCCTTCCAACCCAAAACATTCTGTGATTCTATGATAAAATAAAAATCTTACATGTGAGAATACAGGATAAAGTGAAGGGAACTGTGTGCCAACACCAAATAAGATAGGACCCTTGTGCAAGCAGATGCACTTGTTTTAAAAAAGTGACACACTGGGATTGTTTTTATCTTCTCCACCTGTAAGTCCAAGAGTAGTGTATTGTTACGGGGGTGCTTGCTGTTGTTCTCCCCTGGGCTGTTGAATGGCTTTAAATGTATGCACACATACTTCTTCCTTCAGCCTAGGCAGATGCCAGTGGGTTGTTGCCCTCCTCCCTGTTTAAACAAACCTCCCTGCTGGCATCAGTGGGGCATCTCATCTAAGTCAGGGAATCTAGACTGTGCCCTAAAGTCTGTTCTTTCATTGAACATGCACCCTCTGACTTCATAAAAAATCCCAGGGGCTATAATGCACAGTCCAGGAGGTTCCTGAAGAACATTGATGATAACTTTCTGACCCAGGTGGTGGAGGAGCCAACAAGAAATGGAGCGCTACTGGATCTTGTGCTGGCAAATAAAGAAGAATTGGTTGAGGATGTGAAGGTAGGGGGCAGGCTTGGCTGCAGTGACCACGAGATGGTGGAGTTCCGGATTCTGAGAGGGGGAAGCAGAACAACAAGTAGGACTACCACATTGGACTTTAGGAGAGCAAACTTTGGCCTCCTCAGGGACCTACTTGGAAGAATTCCATGGGCTATGGCTCTCGAAGGTAGGGGAGTCCAGGAGAGCTGGCTTCTGTTTAAGCAGCTCTTCCTCTGTGCTCAGGACCGGTGCATCCCTGTGCGTAGGAAATCAAGTAAACGAGGTAAGAGGCCTGCATGGATGAACAAGGAGCTCCTAGTGAAACTCAAAGAAAAGAGTAAGCTCCATGGAATGTGGAAAGAGGGTCAGGTCACTTGGGAGGCATACAGGAATGCTGCCAGAGCATGTAGGGAAGCAACTAGAAAGGCC